TAAGCTATTGTTGTGTAGCTCATTTTAAAATTTAATACATAAGAAATACAGGTTAATAGAAAGTCATCTATAATAGTCAAGCTTGTAGTCTTGTTAGGTTTTCTAGATATATAGATATATTTTTCAGTTCTATACGTATTCTTCAAATCTTTCAGAGACCTTCATAATATGGCATTTACAATGCTTTGAGAGCTTAAGATTTTTCATGACAGTGAGACACATCTGCTCCTCAAAACCTCAAGCTACATCAAGAGGAAGATGGGCATCAAAGAAGCTACTTAGGAAGTTTGTTAGCCATTTGGGCAAGAAACTGCTCTTTTCCCAGACTGCTTGCTGTTATGCTGTATGAATTGGACATGTAGGGAAGACAGAGAAATGACTGCTATATTTGCCTAAAAGTGAGATGGTCCTTTGGGATTCCTGCTTTATGAGAGAATATACAAGACATTCTGCAAGACACAGAAGAAAGCAGCTGATGGACTTTGCCACTACAAGGCAAAACAGATTTTCAAATTTCCTGCTTTATGGAAATGTCTCCTGAATACTATGGGCCTGTAGATTTTAGATAAATGCCCCAATGATACAGAAAACTTTGGGTGACTATCCAGGCAGCAAGATGGTCTCTGTCAATTTTAGAGTTTTGGAGGTTGCTCACAATGAACTTCCTGTTTACTTAGGTAATACTACATTCTTCTGGAGTCTTTGGTGGAGTTGAAGAATAGATAGTTATAATTATAGTTTTCCTTAGTTATGATAAAAGATAAAGTAGATATAAATATTGTAACTGTAATTCTTGCTTAATATCTGTTTTGTTTTATATAATTTTATTACATTAAAATTAAAACCTTCCTTTTATTTAAACAGAAAAGGGGAGGTAATGTGGGATTCCCCTCTGTATGCAGTGAATACCATTGGTTGATAAAGAAACTCTCTTAAGCCTGCACAAGGCAGAATATAGGTAGACATGGAAAACTAAAGTGAATACTGGGAGAAAGAATGCAGACTCAGGAGAAGTCATGTAGCCCCACCAGAGACAGATACTAAAACTTTACTCAGTAAGTCACAGTCTTGTGGCATTACTCAGATTGATGGAGACAGGTTAATTTAGGATATGAATTAGCCAGAAATATGTTTAAGCTGCTGGCCAAACAGTATTGCAAATCATATGGTTTCTGTGTGTTTATTTCGGGGCTGAGCAGCCAGGAACAAGCAAGCAGACTCCCACAACACAAATCTCTGAAGGTGAAAGGTATAATTCACTGAAAAAAACAGATGCTGCTCAGGTGGAGCTGAGGAATTAGCTGTAATTAATAAGAGATCAGCATCACTATGGCAAAAGTTTTTGGGAGCTATTTACTCAGGGTTAGCACACAAAGCTATAGGCCAGAGAGGCCACAGTTACATTTCAAACTGGCACAAAACTTGGTATCATCTAAGAATCTTCCAAATGGTTCTGGTATTGGTGGTGTGAAACTGAAGAATTGAAGTAGTCATAGAGAGAAGCTGAAGCATAGCACCATGAGAGACCGTTGATGAAGGTATATCTTCAGGTACAGCATAAACCCCAGTTTTAGAGGGGTCATGGGAGAAGTGGAACTTTGGTACCATATGGTAATGTCAGAGTCACCAAAGGGAGTCATTGGTGAAGATAGAGATCTTATCATATTAGCGATGCCAGGACTGTGGGACAAACAAGGTAAGCAGCAGTTGTGGGGTAGAGCTGGTATGACTGTAGAAGAGGAGCTATGTGTACTAGAGATAGGAGAACCAGAAAAGTGGAGCTGGTGAGGTCCTCAGAAGGTATAATCATGAGTGAGTTCCAGTGCCAAGCACTGAGCTTCTTACACTGTCTACATTTAGTTTTACTTTAGCTTGCTTGTAACTGGGCTCTATTTCTTTTCTTCAAATAAGAAAGGATGTTACTTATTTTTTATTTTAGAGAAACAAATACTTCAGGGACTAGAATAAATACTAGAGAGACTTCAGATATTTAATAAATAAACTTTTAAAAGTGTTTAAATTTTTAAAAACTGTGGGACTTGTAAAAATTAGAATACAAGAGCTAGTTCCAGGAGAGCTAGGACTGTTAGATAGAAAACTCTGTCTCAAAATCCCCCCCCCAAAAAAAAGTTGGAATGTTTTATATTTGTGATACTGATATTCTGATATTAATATGAGATCATAGAGGCAAACAAAAAAGGAAAGGTTATGGTTTAATAGTAATATATTGGTGTGTCAAGTTGAGTAGGGGGCATTTGTCCTTGTTAATTTTGTTAACTTGATACAGGGTGGGAAAATCTGGGAAGAGGGAAATTTAATTTAAAAAAAAATGCCTCCATCAGATTGGCCTATAGGCAAGTCTGGGTGGACATTTTCTTTATTAATGATTTGTGTGGGATGGGATAGTGCTGCCCACTCTGGGCAGTGAAACACCTAGGCAAATGGTCCTGGGTTTGGCGAGGAAACAGTCTGAGCAAGCCAAGAGGGGTAAGCTAGTAAGCAGGATTTCTTCATAGATTTTACTTCATTTCGTGATGGAGGTGGGTCTTGTATCTTATCTGTTGCTTTCATTGGTTAACTAATAAAGAAAACTGCTTGGCCTGGTAGGACAGAAAATTAGGTAGGTGGAGTAGACAGAGGAGAATGCTGGGAGAAAGAAGCCAAGTCAGGCAGTCGCCATGATTCTCCCACCCGATACAGCCGCAGGTTAAGATCTTCCCTGGCATGCATGTAAGGCCATCTGAGATAGCATGGACACAGGAACAGTGGTCATAACCCTAAAGAAAACCAACTCTTCCTCAACTAATCAGCTAACCAACTGTCAATAGGTTGTCAGCTAGGGGCAGGGCCTCATGAATCCCTCCAAATCCATGTGGAATATTGACCAGATTGATCTTTTGCAGGCCATGTGTAAGTAGCTACAACTGCTATAAGTTTATGAGCCCTTATCTAGAAAAGTTTTAGGGCTAGCAAGTTAGCTCAGTGGGTAAAAGCACTTTTCACCCTACCTGAGACCTGAGTTTGACCCATGGACCCACATGGTAGAAGGAGAGGACCAGTGGTCACAAGTTTTCCTCTAACCGCCACATATGTGTTATAGCACATGAATTCCCTCAACAAAATAAACATAATAGAAAAACTTAAAGTTTTGTCTTCAGTAAAGGGCTATTGGTTAGGGGCTATTTTATTATTCAACCTCTGATTCTTGACTTAATATCTGGTTGGCACTAAAGTTTGTTCCAGTGTTTGTTTTCCCTAGGATTTTATCATGTTTCCTGGAAATAACAAGCAAATAATCCCAAGTAGTTTAAGAAAAGCACACAATGAATGAGAGGAGAAATTAAGTTATAGAACCCTTCAAGAAAAACACTGGGTCCTTTTTTTTCTTTAATTTACAGATTAATTAGACTAAATAAAAAACAATTGCTTGGTGGAAGAGCTTGAAAATGTATTTACAAGCTGAAGAGATGGCTCTGTTTTTCTAGTGCTTACAGTTTTATCCTTAAAACCCATGGTAAAAAATAGTAACTAGTGATGGCTGCAATTTAAATGCTGGAGAGACAGAGTCTGGCATATCCCTATAGCTTGCTTGCCAGTCAGCCTAGCCCATTGGAGAGCCTAAACCCCTAAGAGATTCTGCCTCACAATACAGGGTAGATGTCACCTGAGGAACACATACCCATTTTTTCCTATGGTCTGTACTGGCATGTATATTCCTTATACATAGAAATACACACACACACACACACACACACACACACACACACACACCAAAAGAGAGTGTCTTCATGAATAGATAAGTGTCATGTAGAATGACTGGGCCCTGCATCAGTTAAAATATTTCATTTTAATATTAAATATTGTTCTCTTGACATTGTTTACATTGGGTGCACAGCAAACTCTTCTTTTTTGTAAACAAAAGTTTAAAAATAACTATAATTATTTTTTTTTTTTGAATTTTTTTGAGACAGGGTTTCTCCGTAGCTTCCTGTCCTGGAACTAGCTCTTGTAGACCAGGCTGAATAAATTTTTTATATTCTTCACATGTATACTTTCAAAAAAATTAAAGATAGCCTAAGTGATTCTATAGCTTATTTTGTACTCAACTCTGTGGTCCTTTTATAAATTTTCTAATTGAGGTACCAGAACTAGAAATGTTAGTAAGTTTCCAGCTATTTCTTTAGTCTGGATGATGTGTCCATTTTCAACTAGACCAAGCACAATTGCACTGCCTGCAAACATGCAAGTCCAATACCAGGAGAGAGGATATGATTATGTTGATGATCAAGCTAAGTTAACATGGGAGAACTTGAGAGTACAAAGCCAGGGCAACTGCTTGAGGGCATGGAGAATATTGCTTTAACCATTGCCACACAGAGAAGCAATGGTATGTATTTGGGTGGAAGCATCACTCTAGCCCCTGGCATTCATATACCCGAAGAGTCTGGAATGTTTACTTGAAGGCATCACCCCAGACCCTGGTATCCACATATCCATAGAGTCTGGAATGTAAGGGTAGAAGTTCTACCCCAAGCTCCTTCCCTTGGGAGTTACCTCAGTTCAGACTCTGCCCACAAGAAAGCCTGCCAAATGATGACCCCCGAGCCCCAGAGATGCTCAAGAACATTCCTATAGGGTATTTAAATTGCTCCCCAGAGAACAAATATGTGGTTTTATCATCTTCCTTTCCTGTCTCCTCTCTGGGGGATGGGGGGGGGGGCTGGAAGGTAACCTGAGAACATTTGTATTTATTAAACCTGGGCCTTTTCTAATATGGTTTGATTTAGTCTGATTCAGATTATTGTGTCAGCAGAAAGGCTTATTGGGGTGTAGAAACTTTTCAGTATATAGTTCCCAAAGTCTTTGGTACCATTGGCTTGACCATGCCACGTGGGTATAGGGTATCACATACATGGACATACAGGAGTGTTGGGATTACGGGCCTTGGTGTGCAGATGCTACTGGACTGGACACAGTAGTGGCATGCATACCCAGCTTACCTTTCTGGCAGAAAGGTCCTTCATATGGTGAACTGGTACAGTCACAAGAGTAGCCACTGTGCTTTTCCACACACTTGCCACCATTGTGGCAGTTGCTTCCATAGCTGCTGCAGTGACCTGGGCAGCCAGGCCTGACCCCAGACGTGACCTTTGCCCTCTCTTCCAGGTCCACTTTCTGCCCATTCAAGTGTAAAGAACGGATGCATCCAAGAAAGCCCTTCTGTCTTGATGATGTGCCTCCTAGGGGTAACAAATAAGAAGGAAAACATGAAAGGTGTCTTTGCTGTATTTCATAGATGTGACTGGTAGAACACAGAACCTCTGCCTGTCCCCTCTCCCAGAAATCAGACCACTTCCTGCTATGGGATCTCTCTTTGGGCACAATGGGAGAGCCTGCTGTGATCATCCAGCTCTTCACAGCTTTGTAGTTGCTAAGAAGGCCAGCCCCTTCCCTATTGTCATGAACCTAGAGGGCCTTGAGTTAAAGCTGGATGCTAAAAATGGAATTTAACATGGAGATTGGGGCTTTTGGTGTGGGACTTATGACAGGCTTCTTGAAAACCTATAACATCAAGATGCCTTCTCTTTGCTCTTTGAACCTAAGAGCTCCTCATTGTCATTTCAGGCTGTTGGGCTTTTGTGGTCTTGATGCTATTACTCTCTGAAGGAAGCTCATCTGTAGGGTAATTTCATCTCACCTTCCTTCTGCTGACGTGTAACATTGTATTTTGTAAGAGTCACTTCTTTTTGTTAACACTTAACTGAGTTGTCAGGGCTGCTGATCTTTTCTTTAAGATCCCAGTGAGAGAAATGAATTTAGAGAATCTTGAAGTCAGGGCTGTGGCTGTAATCTAGTTAGTAGAGTACTAGCCTGGCATACATAAAGTCCTGAGTTCCATTGCCAGTACCACTGAATAAAGCAAGCAACTTGGTACACATCAATACTCTCAGCACTAAAGATGTGAAGGCTGGAGGATCAGAAGTTCAAGGTCAGCTTTGACTATAAACCATGTTCAAGGCCAGTTTAGGAAACATGAGACCCTGTTTCAAAGGAAAACATTCCCAGAGAGAGAGAGAGAGCAAGACTAAGAGAGAGATATACCTCTTCTTAGATGCTTAAGAATGAATGTTTACATGACCATGATCTCTGCATATAAATAAAATATGGATAGTTTTTGCAGCCTATGGTGTGTTTTATCTGATATAAAAGGGATATAGTCAGATTTTGCCTCTTGGCAAATTTCAAAGAGAGCTGTCAGGTGCACAAGAGAGACAAAACTGCAACCTGTTATGCAGCACAGGGCTATGCACTGGAAGAGGGATAGACAGGTATTGGGGTTCAGCACCATCTCCTTCGCCATATTGAGTGCTGAATTCTTTAAATTTCAGCTGTTCCATCTCTCATTCCATGTTTTTATAGTAAAGTTTACTGTAGACCACAGAGTATAGTGTGTGTTCAGTTACTGCTGTCCTCTGGGCCTTTCTCTCGAGTCTTTACCTACTGCCTAGACTCAGTAGGTACATTATATATTATCTGTTTATTGATCTGAGAGTTTATCTATAAAATACTATTTTGCAGATAAGATTTCTCCACTCAAATTGAGACTTCGGCTGTAATCTGACTGTCAGCAGATAGACATCTGGATGCTGTCAGGAGACAGTTATATACCATCCCTTGTGCATTGAGCAGATTTTAACTTTCTCATTGTTTTGTTCCACAGAAAATCCGGCTCTTCCCAGACGTAAGAGAAATGTGTGCTAAGAGACAAGAAGGTGTAAAGTACAGCTAAATCCCATTTGCCTGTATGTATGGTTGCTGAGAATTCTGAGATCCCAGAAGAGTCAGAGGCCCATTCTTGCTATAGAAAACAGGCATTTAGCATCCTATCCTTGAGCACAAGGTTATATCATAGATGAGTGGAGAGTGCATAAAAGTCCTTAAAGTCTGCCTAATGAACTAATGAAAAATAGAAAGAAGAGCAGGAGAATGAAAGGAGGAGGATGGGGATGAGGAAAAAGGGGGAGAAGAAGGAACAGGAGTAAACACTGAATGTAGAAAATACACATCAGTTATATTCTGTGTTTATAGGATGACATAACTGAGACTCATTCCTCTCTACACTTTATGCTACAACTCTAATAAATTTGGTCTAGAAAGTAACTCGATCTGTGTGCATGCATGTCAAAGAAGACAGGATAGGCATTGGAAATTTGCCATTTTTGTACAAGAAATATAAATGTAAACAGGAAAATTAACTGTAAATTGATGCTGGTTTGATGGGTCAGCCAGTAAACTCACAAACATGGAGACCTGAGTTTGATTCTCAGAACCTAGGGAAAATCTGGGTGATGTGATGCATGCCTATAATCACAGTGATGTAAGATGTGAGATGGAGACAGGATGAACTCTGGAAAATCACGGCGCAGATGCTTAGAAATACACTTTGCTTATTCCAGCTCAGGTATGGTGGTTTGAATGAGAATAGCCTTGTTAGGCTTATGTTTGCATACTTGCTCCCCAGTGGGTGGAACCGTTTAGAAAGGATTAGGAGGTATGACCTTGTTGAAGAATATGTGTCACTTGAGACTGGCTTTGAGGATTCGAAAGTCTATGCTATCCCAAGGTAGTTCTCTCTGCCTCATGTTTACATATCAAGATGTAAGCTCTCAGCTATTGCCTCAGTGTGATGTCTTCCTGGTTGTTGTCATATTCTCCATCAGGATTGTCATATACTCTACCCTCTGTAACTATGAGCACAAACTAAGCATTCTCTTGGTCATGGTGTCTTGTCACAGCAATAGAAAAGTAAGTAAGATACCAGACCAGGAAACACATGAGTCACTGCTTGAGTCCAGAGAATAAAATAGAACATTCCCGTGGTACAAAGCTAGTCTCTTACTCTGAAATAATGAAAAACCTTGAGTTTGCTTCCAATTCTGATAAGAATGCAGGCCAAGAGGCCAAACCTCAATTGCACTGTCTTGTCTGTTTCAATTTCAGTGAGTAAGTCTCCTTTAACCACAAGATAAATCAATGGCACATACAAGCCGGTCACAAAGGAAGGCTCATTATTTCTTTTCTGGGGGTTATGCACAATAAAGAGGGAGGATTGATGGAGTCTAACACTTGCTCTGTTTCTCCGACTCTGTAGTCACTCCCCTTCGTGGATTTGAATAACTCTCCATCTGTCTTCTTAGTGTCATTTTTCTCCGAGAAGAGACGGCGAATGCAAGATCTATTGCACATTTTCTTGTGTGTGTGGCTTAGTCAACAAGCTTATAAATGAAGAAGGGGTGACTGAAACAATTTTTTTGGTAAAAATGTACTTCTTGATGCAGAGATATATGAAATGTAGTGCGATTTTTGCCAGACTAGCTGTTCATGCCCTTCCACATGCTGATAGACCAAGATGATACAAGGCATTGGGCAACTACCTTTCACATGAGCTAAATTTGTGCTTTTTTCAGGCTACATTTTGTTTTTTTCAAAGGAGAAACATCTATAGGACAGATTCTTTTTATTATAAGAAATGAACAGACTGGGCTACATGTTGAATAATTTAAAAAACACATGCCAACACAAACACACACGTGTATACATCCATGTACTCACGTACAGAACAAATACCCATAAACATACACATAGACCACACAAAAATACATCTATTCACACATGTACATGTAAAAATAGAGACAACACAAGCACACATACACACATACATACACACATGTGCACACAGAGCCAACACAAACATACACACAGAAAAAACCACGAATACATGTATACACATTCATGTGCATGCACACACAGAGGTACATGTACACACATCTTAAGGGACATGTTGCAAGAGTCTGTTCTCTTCTTCTACCATGTGTGTTCTGAGTACTAAACTCGGGTTTTCAGGCTTGACAAGTGCCTGTATCTGCTAAGACATGTTTTCTTTCCAAAGTTGCCAATTTTTAAATGGAAAAAAATACTTGCAAAATTCAAATATGTTTTCCATTGAGAAATCAGATGATGATGTGTGGGCTTTCTTGCTGACTTCTTTCCAAGACTCCACCAATATAGAGCAGGTGGAATTACTTTGCTGTCTTTGCACAGACATATTTCAGCCATCATTCTAATACATTTTCCACTTTGCATTTCTGAATCTTGACTTATGTACAGTTGTTTGGTAGCTATTTTTTCCAAATCATAACATTCCTTCCTAGAGAGGCTCATTAAGAAAAATCCGTGACAAACACAAAAGTTGCACCATTCACAAGCCTCATCCAAAGGTTATATATAACTATTTTTTTTTATTTTTTGGGGGCCTTCTACTGGCTCCCAAATAAATACATGGAGACTTATTATTACTTATGAAAGCCCAACTTTACCTTGGCTTTTCTAGCAAACATTTTAACTTAAATTGTCCCATTTCTTTTTAACTATGTTTTTACCTTTATTTATTCTATACATTTTTCTTTCCTTTTAACTCCATAGTTGACTGTGTGTTTCAGTTGTTCTCCCCAGGCATCTTCTCTTTCTCCTTTGTCATTCATCCTGTTAATCACTTGAGTCCAGATTTCTCTTCTTTTTTATTCTCCCTATCTGGCAGCCTTGCCTATCCTTTCTCCTGTCTAGCTATTGGCCATTCAGTTCTTTATTTGAACAATCAAGTGTTTTAGGCAGGAAAAATAACATAGCTTTACAGATTAAAATAATGCAACATAAAAGAATATAACACATCGTTGCATATTTAAACAAATACTCCACAAAATAAACAAATGCAACAATTTTAACTTAATGTTCCAGAACAATTATATAAGTAATAACAATAACTTGAATAATGATATATGCTTTAACATCTCCCCCCAACATTCCTGGAAGTGGTTCCAGAACCTTGAGGGATGCTTTTTTGAGTTATTTTTCAGGAAAGACTGAGCTGTCAATGTGGCAGCTACCTGAGCTGCCCAAATTCTGTGAACAAGCCTCATCTGTAATCATGAAGAAATCAGTAAATTCCAACATAAGTTGTCATCAGTGTTTTTGATCTTGGCCATTCTTACAGGTATAAGATGGAATCTCAACATTGATTTGATTTGCATTTCTCGGATAACTAAGGATGTTGAACATTTCCTTAAGTGTCTTCAGTCATTTTAGATTCCTGTATTGAGAGTTCTCTATTTATGTCTGTATTCCATTTATTTATTGGATTATTTGTTCTTTTGATGACCAATTTCTTGATTTCTTTGTATATTTTGGAGATCAGACCTCTATCTAATGTGGGGTTAGTGAAGATCTTTTCCCATTCTGTAGGCTATCGTTTTGTGTTGTTGACCATGTCCTTTGCTTTACAAAAGCTTTTCAGTTTCTGCAGGTCCCATTTATTAATTGTTTCTCACAGTGTCTATGATACTGGGGTTATATTTAGGAAGTGGTCTCCTGTGCCAATGCGTTCAAGTGTACTTCCCACTTTCTCTTCTATAAGGTTCAGTGTGGGTGGCTTTATGTTGAGGTCTTTGATCCATCTGGACTTGAGTTTTGTGCATGGTGATAGAAATTGGTCTATTTTCATTCTTCTATATGTTAATATCAGAAAATTACAGCCTTTCTCAAGACCCAGCAGTACCACCTTTGGGTATATATCCAAAGGATGCTCAATAGTGCCACAAGGACATATACTCAACTATAACTATGTTCATATCAGCATTGTTTGTCATAATCAAAACCTGGAAACAACCTAAATGCCTTTTTACTGAAGAATGGATAAGAAAAATGTGGTATATTTACACAATGGAGTACTACACAGCAGAAAAAATAACAACATCTTGAATTTTGCAGGCAAATGGATAGAGCTAGAAAACATCAATTTGAATGAGGTAACCCAGCCCCAGAGAGACAATTATCACATGTACTCACTCATAAGTGGTTTTTAAACGTAAATCAAGGGAAACCAGCCCACAAATCACAATCCCAGAGAACCTAGACAACAATGAGGACCCTAAGAGAGACACACATAGATCTAATCTACATGGGTCATAGAAAGCGACAATATCTCCTGAGTAAATTGGTAGCATGGGGACTTTAGGAAAGGGTTGAAGGGGAGGGGGTGGCAGGGAGGGGAGCAGAGAAAAATGTAGAGCTCAATAAAAATCAATAGACAAAAAGAATCAGTAAACTCATTGTCTCAATAAACTAGACTTTAGTGGAAATGCTTCTTTGGTTTGTTATTTATTCTTGATACCAACCTCTTGCCTCTCTACATTTATATGTGTGATCATATAAAATATGCTCACACATATGCAAACATGCATACAAACCACACACATATATGCATATATAAAACCTCACAAAGTATAAATTATGAACTGTCAAAATTACCAAGGGTGAGATTGCACCTCAGCTACACATTACATATTTAAAGCTACATTCTATACAATTTCTTGTATTCTAATAACTCAATGCAGGGGACAACATGGCCTTGTTGCAGCTATCCCTTACTCTCATGGTGACAAAACCATGTTGAGTTGCAATATCGATTCTGGGACTCCATCAAGCAATGAGTGATTGATCAGCACTTTTCATGCTGTCACACTGAAATAACCAGCGCAGTGCCAGAAGATGCATCCTGTCTTATAAGATGCAGTCTGTGTTTGGCACACAGAAAGCACTCCTGATCACAGCAGAAGACCAGTGATCAAAATGCTGCTGGACACTGTACTCTGATTTAAAAATTCTCCCATGCATGACTGAAAGTAGCTGGAAAGGTATATCCATACTGACACTTTAAAAATGCCATGCTAAACCTATCCCAGTCAAGAAACATACTCCAATAATGGTATCTTTTGCTACCTTTGAAAGACAAACATGTAATGTCTCCACATTTCTGAGTTATAGAGGACATAGTTCTTCATTTGGGTAATACAACTGTGATAGCTAGTTTTGCTAATTTGATGCAATATAGAATCATCTGTTACAAGATTCTCAATGAGACTGCCTTGATTAGTCTGGCCTTTGGGAATGTCTTTGGGTATCTAGATTAAGTTAATTCATGTGTTAGGACCTATCATAAAAGTAGGTAGCACTATCTTTTGGATTTGATCCTGGACAATATAAAAGAAAAGAAAGTGAACTGAAAGTACCCATGAATGTATTCATTCCCTCTCTGTTCTTGACTGTGGATGTGAAGAGCTGTTTAAAGTTTTTGCCTCTACTTTTCCTAGTGATGGATTCTACCATGGAACTATACAACCCTGGTGCTTTTATTGGGACATTTTATCACAGCAACTGGATAGGAAATGAGGGGAGTAAGTAAGAAAAAAGTTCATTCATTCATTCATTGCACAGATAAATTGCACAAAAATGCAGTTGTTGGTTCTTCAACTGCCTTTGACCTGATAACATCTGCAAATATACCTATTACTGAACACTAAACAGTGAGGCATAAGCCAGCAGACAAAGATGGCCTTTAACAGCAGTTTCCCCATTTTTGGTTTCATGGAGATAAACTCAAAGAAAGCAAAGTAATTACTACGATGGGACTCACTGGAGGGAAGAATAACAGAAGTGAGTATGCTCATTAGACTGACCTTGGCTACAACTCTGTCAAGGTGTCTCATTCAGTCCTATTCACATGCTTGTACAACTCACTGATTTGTGATCAATTTAAATGTCTAGTGAAAAGAACTTGGCACAAAACACTGCTGCTACTCTTCCATTTTAAGTTGTCCAAAGTTCACCTCATCTCTTTTCTTGGGATAGTCAGGTAGCTATGATGGCATAAAAAAACAAATCCTCCACCTTTAGTTTCTGGTTCAGATAGAAAGATTCAAAAGCACTGCCTAAAGATAAATTCGACTTTCACATGGAGTATAATTTATGAAAATTATAAAATACTTGAACTGATTCCACCAAAAAAGATATTAAATCTTGATGAGTAGCAAACTTCTTCCAAGAATAAAATGTGATGCTTAAGTAGAACTAAAACAGCAAAATATATTAAAATTTTTTCAGTAGTAAATCATATTACATACAGGAGTTATTAATTAAGGAAAAGACCTATAATCATTTGAAGGTTTTAAATCACTTGATATTAGATTCTAGTGGATGTGTAAAACACAGTTAATGAAGATACATGTATGGTGGGTGATACTATGAAAATCTGATGTTCTCGAATTCTCCTATCTCTTTTCCTTTAGCAATTGTGTTTTCAGTGGTTATATTTTCAGGTTTAGAAATTACATTAGTCCGCATATAAAGAAAACAAATGAAAAATGCTCAAGGAATTAAGATGGAATTTTATGACTCATGGTGAGCTATATACAGTGATATATTGTATTGATAGAAAACAGTATAATTCCTGGTCTTATATCAGTACTAGACGAGCATATCTAAAATATTCCCCATCCTTTCTCTGTCTCTCTCTCTGTCTCTGTCTCTCTGTCTCTCTCTCTCTGTCTCTCTCTCTCTCTCTCTCACACACACAATCTCATACATATACAGGCATGCATACATACATGCATGCACACAAGGCACATGCCCACACTTATAAACAAACACATACACACACACACACATGCACAAGCACCCTGAAAAACAGTGACTATTCTTAATTCATATTTCTATACCCACTATCAGACAAGAAATGTTTGAATAGAATTGGTTTCTCTGTGACTATTGATGGGAGAAATGAGTAAGGGAAAAGGGAGGAAGAATGGGGAAAAAAGAAGGAACAAATTCAAAAGGGAAAAGGGAGTGACTTCTGAACCTATCCACTCCCACCACTGTCAGTGGCCACGTATTCAGAGATAATATAGTTGCTAATGCTGAGTCTCAATCAGGGAATGAGTACCACCTTACCTTAGTTAGTTTTTCTATTGTTGTGACCAAAAGCAACTTGGATATATATATATATATATATATATATAGAGAGAGAGAGAGAGAGAGAGAGAGAGAGATTTTCTCAACTGAGAATCCCTCTTTTAAGTATGTAGCTGGTGTCACGCTGACATATATCCAGTCAGCACACTTCCTATATTTTACGCCTGAAAACTGAACTTCTTTGGGTTAGTCAAACTTTTTGTTCACACTGTTAACAATAGTAATTAGGATTTGGGGCACTAAGAAAAATGATGGGCTAGAATCTCTATACCTATGCTGTAAATTTTTATTACAATAAGTCAAAACATAAAATTCCATAGATATCTGAACACAAAACATACAAGGAGAAACAGTACCAAAACAATCTGAGACAGCTCCTAATTTTGTAAAGGAGTAGCACAAACTTTATTTTGATGATTTATGAAGCTAGAATAAAACAATTTATAAAATGAAACAAATAGTAAAAGTAATAACATATTTAGTTTTTTAGTGTAAAATACCAGGGAGTTTTCTTGAGCTAGGGCAAAAAACTACCTTGTAAGTATTTAGTACAAAGTATGCTGTATGATGTATCCTACCTACAAACAATTGGCTATTCAGCTGAAGTCGGAAATGGCCTTCCTCTGAGGTCTCCCTTGTACTTCGAGGAAGATTGTCCAGCTGTAGGGAAGTCTCCTTGAGGTTTCTCTCAGCCCGGATATAATGCCATTGGTTGTCATTCAGAGGAGAAGGGGACTGGACGAGGAGCTCAACAGGGCCATTCCCAACATCAATGGCAAATGTGACCTCAGAAGGAGCTGTAGCCAAACAAGAAAGAAGGATGAAAACCATTGTCAGTGTGTTGCAGGCACAAGCATGTTCAGGATGTTTAGGGAAAATCAATCTCCATCAATGTGGAGAGGACATCTCTGGACTCCCTGGAACACTTGGATCACCATCAGCATTATCAACTGCTAAAGACTAAGAATGCATGTGTTCTATACACTGTCCACTTGAGTTGTTCCTGGTTCTTCAATACAGGTAGCAGGAACCTGTGGCATTTGCATCTGTCCGAATCTCTGCTGAGGCTCTTGGTCTCCTTGGTCTACCCTGATTTTACCTGTGTCCAACTGTACACAAGGGTCTAGGCAATCATCTTCAAGCTGCAGAGACCCATATCTTTAGAACAACAGTACCACTTGTAGGGATATTTAGTCAATGTATGTGATCCAAACTCTTGTATTTCCATGTCTGAAAATGCCAAAATCAGGCTGGAAAGAAAGTTCAATGGGTAAGAGCATATGCTACTCTTGCAGAGAATCAGAGCTCAGCTCCCAACACTCAGATAGTTTAGCCTATGACTGCCTAAAACTCCAGTGCCAGGGATATGATTGCTCTCTGACCTACACAGGATCCTGAACACATATGTACATACCCACAGAGAAACATACACTTAAATAAAAATGAATATGTAAAATATTAAGATGGATTTTATGTCCGTTGCTTGTCCAGTGGAAAAACTCTGAAAATAGCACTGCTTTAAATGACTCAGAACCCCACCCTCCATGTTGGATACTGTCCAGAAAGTTTTTCACAATATATTATGGAAATCAATTGACAGCTATTCATTAATATTAATACTGATAATATTAAAATGATGGTGGCACTGAAGATAGTAATGGTTCTGGTCATGCTGGTGGTGGTATTAATAATAATCATGGAAATTGTGGTGATGTTATTGGATAGTAGGGATGAACTCTGGAAGAAGGGATATTGGAGAGCATGGTGATAGTACCTCAGATGGTAGTTATGTTGGTGGTGATGATAAACATGGCAAATGTAATGATGGTATTAGCAATGGTCAGCATTGTGAGCCTGATGGTTAACTATCAACAGGCTTCAGAAGCACCTATGAGATAAGCCCCTGGAGAAGATTGTGAGGGCAGAACTAGATTGAGTTCGCTGAAGTGAAAAGATCAATGTGAGTAACAATATCCCTTGTGCTGTAGCCCTAACCTAAACACTGAAAAGAAAGTGAATTGAACAGTTGCATTCTTTACTCTGTTTCCAGTCTGCATGTGATGGCACAGACTGCACGGTGAACATTGCTCCTTGCCAAAGTTCAGCTCCAGCATTTTGACATTGCAGACCATACTTATCCAGCAACTTTTTATTTTCCTTTTCAGTGATGCTCAATATTAATGCCTCCCCATTTGTGAAATTTTGTAGGGGCTTTAGTAAAGGATAAAAATGTGCACAATGGTGGCCTCTCTAAACAAAATAATCCTCTTGGGGAAACAAATCAACATGTTAATCTTGATTAACTATTCAAACTGTCTTTGAAGAAGACTAGACGCTCATAAATGATGGTTGTATTATTTCTGTATCATGTGATTTTCCAATGCAGGAAAATTTGTTTAGTTTACAAAGCCATTCATTGAAAGAATGGGATTGAAACAAACAGAGGAGGCAATAAAGAATTAAAAAAAATTCCTTGAACCATTTTATGAATCTACCTTTTTCATTTCATTTTGTTTCTCTTTTATCCTTCCCCCTTTCTCCTTTCTTTCCTCTTTCTCCTCTCCCTCCTTGTTTTCTTTTTGTTGTTGTTGTTGTTGTGTGCATGTCCAAGTATGTACATATTCATGTGTATGATGTGTGTTTGTATGTGTGTGTGTGGTGTGTGTTGTACATATTTGTGGGTGCATGTGGAGGATAAAGGTCAACCTCAGATGTCATGACTCAGGTGACATCCACTTTATTTTTGAAAGAGTTTCTTATTTTCCTGAAGCTTACTGATGAGGCCAGGCTGGTTGACAAGCCAAGTCTCTTTTTCTCAATAGTGGGATTATAGCACATGCCACCACACCAGATTGTATACTGTGTGCTCTGAGGGTTAAACTCAGGTACTCAGGATTAAGTAATTTTGTATGTTTTATCTGACTATGCCTGTGTAACACATGCAAGTCTGATGTTGACAGAAGCCAGAAGAGGGTAATGGATCCCCTAAAACTGGCATTGCAGATGGCTGGAATCACCATATATGTGCTGGGAACTGAAAATAGGCCCTCTGTAAGAATAGCCAGTGCTATTAGCCAGTGAACCATCCCTTTTGCCTCCATTTCTTTTTCTTTCCTTCTTACCTTCTCCCTTTCTCTTTCTCTATATCACACTCACTTTCTGTCTTTCTTCCTTTTTATTTGTTGAGACAGTGTTTCTCTGTGTATCTCTGGCTGTCCTGGAACTTCTTTGGTAGACCAGACTGACCTTGAATTCAGAGACATAACCTTGTTTGTGCTTTCCCGCTGCTGGGATTAAAGCCACACACACCACCACTTTTTGGATATATTTTTTTATTTCTTACTTAGATCAGTGGTTTCATCTTGAAAATCTTCCCATTTCAAAATCAAATCTTTATTGAGAGATGACTGGTTTTCTCTCTCTCTCTCTCTCTCTCTCTCTCTCTCTCTCTCTCACACACACACACACACACACACACACGGAGAGAGAGAGAAGGAGAGAGAAAAAGATTAATAAGAATATGGGGCAGAAATATTAAAGATTTGGGTAAAATTTTCCCTGATGATTAGTCTTAAAGATATTAGGCTACCATCAGACAGCATATCTTTGTAGGAGGCTTGATGCTCTGCTGTGATTACTGAATTCTGTCACCAAGTTGGGTTTCTTGTCTGTGCAAAGGTTGGCTATACCATGCATCACCTGTACCATATGATCTGACTGCTGTCTGTCTCTCCAGCTCATCTGCAAGCTGTAGAACAGTGACTCTCAACTTGTGGGTCATAACACTTTGGGGGTTGAATGACTCTTTCACAGGGGTCACACATCAGATATCCTACATATCAGATATTTACATTATACTTTATAAGAATAGTAAAATTATAGGTTTGAAGTAGCAACAAAAATAATTTTATGCTTGGGGGTCACCACAACATGAGGAACTGTATTAAACGGTAAAAGCATTAGAAAGGTTGAGAAACAGTGCTGTAGCGAACTTTTACTTATCACAGACCCGGCCACTAACACTGTGCTTGATTAGAGCAAGCTTACTTACTACAAGCCCAACCCCGACTCCTCTGCTTGTCTGTATATAGCTCTGGCAAAACCATGGCTAGACTCCTCAAAATGAATAAATGCTGCACTTCCTCTTTATCTTGTTTTTTTTTTTCTTTTCGTTGTTGCTGTTGTTTTGCTTTGGTTTATTTGCTTTGTTTGTTTGCTTGTTTTCTTTTTTGAGACAGGGTTTCTCTGTGTAATAGCTATGGAACTTAATGCTGTCTGCTTTTTCTTTATAAGCTTGGGTCCTTGTAAAAGTCTTTTTAAATGTTTTGATAATGCTGATATTTATTGATGTAACTATCAAAGACCAATAATATGTAAACCACTCTTGGCTGTTGAAGAATCAGTGAAATAACATTAGCAAAAACATTAACATTTATTAAGTGCATCACACAAGCCAGAAATACTGCTAAGCATTTTCTGTTATTGAATTCAGTTGGGCCTCAATACACACTTGACAGGACTATTTCATAAGTGAAGGAACTGAGCACAAGTTGTCACAGTGGCTGGAAGAACTAAGATGTAAATCTCAGTAATATACTTTTAGACCTTTTCTACTTTTTGTGACATAATTGTTTATTAATTCTTTGGGTATTTCACATCATGCACCCAAATCCCACTCACCTTCCAGTCCCTCCATGATCCCCTCACTTCTGCAGCATCCCTCAAAAAAATGCTCCAAAGTGTCAACTGAAAACAAACAACAAAGCACCTCGCTCCTCTGTCTTTCCAAGACCTCCTCATTCATCTTTGTGCCATTGGTTGCTGCAGTGTATCTACTGTACACCAATTAGCCTCTAGCACACCAGCATCACTGGACTCTCACCAATACCCCTCTCACATAGCCTACTGTTGTCACAAGTCATGGAGATGCTGTGGCTATTGTTCCACAGGACCAGTCTCTTCATGCATTACAGCAGGTCACAGACGGGGAAGATGTTAGGGTGGACCAACCCAAGGCTCAGGATGTGGGTCTCTTTGGTAGTTGAACTACTTGGTCAGGACTACTGGGGCTGTATCCCTCAGGGGAGATGTAGATCTTGCTTTCCTAGGCCCATCTCATCCAGGCAAGGACTCCTATGTCCATGGTTGGTGTGGGAAGCCCTTCCGTATACGTGTTGCTTTTGTTGGTTAATAAAGAATCTGCTTTTGTCCAATGGCTTAATAGAATGTAGCCAGGCTGGAAGATACAAGTCAGTGAGAAGCAATGTAGTCACCACAGGAGACAGATACCTCCATCAGAGCCAGCTGGAACCTTGCCAGTAGGCCGCAAGCCTCATGGTAAAATATAAAATAAAAGAAATGGGTTAATTTAAGTTATAAGAGCTAGCTAGCAGTATGCTTAACCTATTGGCCAAGCAGTGGTTTAAATAATATAGTTTCTGTGTGATTATTTTGAGTCAGGGAAGTTGGAAACGAATGAGCAGCCTCTGCCAACAAATTGGTGCCCAATATGGAGGCTGAACCCACAAACCTGAGATTAAGAGTCTCATGCTCTAAAGTAGAAATAAATGTTCTAACAGTAATTTTTGCTTGATACCAGTTTTGTTATATGTAATTTTACTATGTTAATGTTAAAATCTTTCTTTTTATTTAGACAGAAAATGGGAGGTGATGTGTGATTCCCCTCTGTATCATTGGTTAATAAAGAAACTGCTTTTGGCCAATGGATTAACAGAATATATCCAGTCTGGAAAAGATATATAGAGAGAGTAGGCAGATTGAGGGAGAAGCAATGTAGCTGCCTGCAGAACACAGATTCCTCCACTGGAGCTCTCTGAAACTTTGCCTGTAGGCCATGAGCCTCGTGGAAAAATATAAAATAATAGGAATGGGTTAATTTAACATATAAGAGCTTGTTAGTAATACAGTAGAGTCATTGGCCAAGCAGTGTAGTAATTAATATAGTTTCTTTGTGAATATTTCAGGTCAGGGCAACCAGGAACGAACTAACAGCCTCCAACAACACCTGATGAGGGTTGGGGACATCTCTCCCACGTGGAAGGGAGAGCTCTCTCATGGGGGTGGGGCCAACTCACCTGCTATAGTATCCAGCAAGGTTCAGAACCAAAATTCCCGGGGCCAGTGAGGGGCAGAGCCAGCTCAGCATGGCCCTTGGATTTCAACATGTATAATTCCTATGAACCCTTGCTGCAACACTGAAAATGGGCATCATCACAGACCTCAGCTGTAGCAGGACCATAGATCCAGACATGACCCTTGTCAGCAACCCAGGCACGGAAGATACCACGGCCTTGTGTGGCAGCACAGACTACCCGGGTTGGTACGGCCGTGTGGCAGCATGGCCCTTAGACTTGACAATGGCTACAGTTTGTTGCCTGGACATCCACATGGCCGTTGGTGTTACCATGGGTAGAGATATCTTTTTTAATATCTTGTTAGAGCTTCTGCCCCGTAATAACAGTAGTAACAAGAACAATAATCTTCATAAATTTAGGGAATATGAGACCTTAGAGTTTGTTGATTTTATGTTTATGTATTTGTTTATTTTCTATTGTAGGGACTGAACTTGGGGTCTTACATATCCTAGCCACGTTCTTCACTCTACTACTGAACTGCATCTATTTTCAGGTCATACACTTAAAAATATTTAATGCAAAATGTTTGTGTTTTAAACAGTAATAATTGAGAGTATGATGATAGTAAACATCAAACAATTACATTACAGGTTTCATTTGTGTGTTTTTAAATAATTTAATGCTAAATTGAATTTTGAAAAAATGGTACAGCCTGAAGGGCACGGTGAACTGCTACAAAGCACAAACAAATTGGACACTGATCTGTAATTAACACTCACTCACTGGTGATTATCTTGTGATAATATACCATAACATTGATTTCGGCTTTAATGAATGAAAACGCTTTAGGGCCTGTTTTGTTTTTTTTATTAAATTTTACATTGAGGTTATTATGTCCACACTGTGGAATGGTTGGTATTCAACCTGCTCTTCAGAGTCTGAACAAGTTAGGTATGAAGGATTTTTATTTTACACAAAAATCATAAGATCTTCCCCCATTAGTAGCTTGTGTCCTTGAACAATTAATGAAAAGTTACATGGAGAAACTTTCTTTTCCTGTGTGTAGTCTGCAACTGCATAAGAAACACTTAGCCGCTCCCCCATGTGCTGGAGACCCACATACCCCTTCACCATGCCCTCTGCAAATGTACTTGTCTTTTGTTGGGGAACGCTCAAATTTCCAATATCTGTGGATAAGATGCTTGCTTAGCTTTCAAGGGTATCTCATGGAGTTACATCACTCTGATACGGCCAATCACCTCACTCACACTATTGGAAAACGTCCACTTCACAAGGGTAGAGGGATGCTCAAGGACAAGCTCGAGTAGGTTGTGGTCAAGAGAAGATTAAGAGCGAGGCAGGGTACAGGTAATGGAGTCCACTTAGTGTAAGGAACTTAAAAGCAACAGAAAGGGTAGCTAAAATAGTTCTAATGTTTCTTTTTATGTATTTATCTGTGTTTTTATGTATTCACACTCATGCTGGTACATAAGTGAGCAGGTGTATTCATTCACGTGTATGCACATTCATGAAGTGGCTAGAGGACAATATTGGTGTCGTTCCTCAGGATTACCCCCAAACCATGTTCCCTGACACAGAGATTCTCACAGGCTAAAGGACTCTCTTGGTCTCCTCAAACTGGGATTATAAGCACAAACCACTACACCACATCTGGCTTTTTACTTTTTACTTGAGACCGGCAGATAATATTCAGGTTATCATGCTTGCAGAGTAAGGACTTTATTGACTGGGCTATCTCTCAAGCACTGAATATCTGTTTGTTTACTTGTTTGTGTGTGGTTTTGTAATCATGAGCCACTAGTAATTCTAAAATGTTTTGATGATTAAGCACTCCTGCACCAAATGCATGTACAAACACAACACACCCTAAAGTCACTGTCAATTTTTAATAATACATGTGTGACTCTTAAATAGGTCCAATTTACTGCTTGTTGCATAGTAAAAGTTATACCCTAGAGAGTAGCCTCCTAAGCTCCACCGGCTCCACGAGAACCAGGTGCGTGTGTTTGTTTGGAGGAACAACTAGGCAGTGTCCGCCTTCCACCTGTATGACTCACGCTTTCCTCTGTGAACAGACTCTAACATGAGAGTCCACACAGGACACAAGTGTCAACACAGAAATCAGAAGAGCTCTAGCCATTGCACACCCGAAAGGGGTCTGTTTAGTGTCTACCTAATGTGGAGAAAAACCTGTGATGAATTCTGCATTAAAATAGTTGCTGGAAAGATTTTTGATTATTTAGATATTTTGAAATCATTAGAATTGGGCCTGGTTAAAAAAAGTTATGGAGAGTGTTATAATTTTTGGAGTTGAAATAAAAATGGTTTACTTTACCAAACTTGTCCTTAAGCTGAAAATTCTTTCCAAACTTTTTAAATATCTGTGACTTTTTATGAAAAAACAATCATATCAAAAATGAATAAAAATATTTCTTCTAAATGCAATAAAAGATAAATGGGCTAGTACAATTTGTAGTTTTATTTGAACAAAAGCAGCTATAGGAAATTAACTTATATGAAGCCATTGACAACATTGCAGAAAATCAGACTTATGGACAGACTTTTAAAGTTCTTATTACTAAAAGAGACTAAATTATTGCTATTTTTCCATTTTCATGAAAATTAATCATTGAAAATTTTTCCTTTTTTGTGCTTTCATGTATTTTTGTTAGCATGCTGATATGCAGTGTCCCACTGTAGAATGAATGTCTTGTCATCCATATTTCTTTAGTGTCCATTTGGCTTAATGATCGGTAAAGCACAGATCCCACAGATGGGGGCAGGGCTATTACAAAGTTGTAATCCATGCATTTAACCCTGAACGCACACTGCTACAGACAAGAAAGACGAGGGAAACTGGCATAAATTATCACTGACTTGTTACCCTATCCTATTGGAGCAAGAGAAGAAATTGAATTGTGCATACTTGCATGCGTGTGTGTGTGTGTGTGTGTGTGTGTGTGTGTGTGTGTGTATTACCTGGTCAAGATGTGCTCAGACTTGCCAGAGGTCAATGTCCAAGTTCCTCCTCAATGATTCTCCACCTCATATTTTAAACAGAATCTCTAACTGAACCTGGAGCTCACCAATTCTGCAAGAGGAGCTGCAGGGCTCCACCTGTCTGTGCCTCCTTTGGCATGGGAATGCCTGGCTATGTTACATGAGTTCTGGGGAACTGAATCAGGTCCTCAGGCTTGCATGTATGTGCTTTATTGGTTGAGCTGCCTTCCCAAAAAATGACTTCTGAAGCATGGGTACAGTACTAATATGAGGAGAATGTTCAATAGCAATTATCCCTGCTTCCCACAGAGTGCAATCCTGATGCATGAAAACTTAAAGCAACAGGTAAGGGATAACAATGTTGTAGTAGAGATTGGAGCCTGCAAGAGGAATGCACAGATACTCATGGAATGCACGTATCCCTTATAAATCAGCTAACCAATGATGATAGAACACCCTAAGTCATAGCACATTAGCAGGGATCTGACAGCTTCAGAGCTAGTTCTACTGATAACTGGTGATATTAGCTTGATACTTAAAGTCGGTACAGTGCCTGGTGACAGAGATAAAAAGAAGCCCTCTCCATGGACCACTGACATCAAACTCATAAATGAAGGCACTTACAGCTCATTTCAAGTCGGATGAAGTCTTTAATGCCAAGGTTCTCTAGGAAAACTCCAGATAAAGCGGTGGTTTTAAAAAAGAAGGAAATGTCAGCGCTGAATTCGGCATGGAAGGTAGGAAAGTGGAGGTAAGAAGCTTCGGTAGAAAATGAGACAGCATTCCAGTAGTGCCCTGTGAAGCAGAGAGTCTTTCAACATGGATTGTGTCTTTCCACCAGGTATAGGAAACAATGGGCTCATGGGTAATTTTTAATACTAAAAGGACACTAAAAGGAAAACGGATAAGGGATCCAAAACATCTTCTGCTCATGCAATTCAGAAAAAGAGGGATGTAGTACTCACGGTCACCATAGCAACGCAAGGGGCCAATTCTCCAAGCAGCTTCTGAGTTTGATCTGTTGGTATCAGTGATAATTATCTGAGTAACAGGCAAGTGATCTTTGAAGGAAAGAAAGCCAGTATCCTTTGTCCTGAGAAACACAAATTTAAAGGGGGAAAAAAAAGGAAGGGAAATGTAGATTATCTAGGGAATCTGTGTCAAGACCCCTCTTTGCAAAGTGACTTGGATTGGATTCAGCCTGGCTAGGGTTGGGAGGAGCATAACAGAAGGCCTTTCATCTCTGGGCCTATGTGAATAGTTGGGATACCAATTACAGAACCCATGGCCTGCTTCCAAACACCTCTGGATTTTATATCTTCCCTAAATGTGCTGGCAGGAGCACAGGTAGTTTACAAAGTTCGTTGTGCTTATTGTTGGCGAGAGGACCCCAAGGCTCACTGCAGCATTAATGTGACATTAAACGTCACTTCACTTTCCCATAAAAGAAGATCTGCTATCTGAGGAACTAACTTGAAAACAGATAACACAATTCCCTCTCAAAAATTACTCAGAGTACGTGGATGAACCACCTGCCAACAGGTTTTAATCAGGTTAGAATGTTCCTTATCACCTTCAAAGTTCTGTTCAAATGAATCTTTATAGTTATTGGTTGCTTTTTGCTTTATTCTTTAGGAAGACCTTGGTTGTTAACGACTCTGACTTTGTTATTGTTAATTATGCAAATAAGGAAGTACCTAGTTTTGTGTTTATAGGAAAGTTTAAAAAGAAATAGAGAAAGTCAATATTTCCTCCTCTTTTAAAGCTGTCTTTTGGAATCAAGGTGAAAACGGTACCACTAGGTGTGTGAATATGAAGACATGAATCCAGATCTGCTGTACCCAAACAAGAAGACCTTCCCTTTTGGAAATTGCTTGTAATCATAGGACTGGATAAGTAGAGATAGGTAGGTATCTGGGACCTCTTAGCCAGCCAACCTAGCTAAATTGTTAAGCTCCAGGCCAATGAGAAAACTTGCCTCAAAAAACAAAAATATTCTCCAGTACCCAGGGTATAATAACAAAATCTGGTTTATAGCCTCAGTATATGCACTCATAAACATATACACATGCATCAGTCTACAAAAAATAAAAATGTACACACACACATATATATCCATATACACACAGGGCACACAAGGGGGAGCTAGAAAAGGGAGTGTAGAAGATGGGTGTTATCCAAGTATGCTGTGTGTGCATGTATGATATTTTCAAAAATAAATAAAAAATAACATTTGAAAAATAATAATATCAATTCAACTAAAATAAATAAATACACATCGGCAGTGAAGACACTTCCAGGATGAAATTTGTTAAAGAAAAATGTCCACACACTTCTCTGCAGCATATACCACAGTGTCCTCTGCAATGTACACCACTGTCTCCTCTGCAATGTACACCATTGTGTCCTCTGCAGTGAAAACCTTTGTGCCCTCTGCAATGTACATCACTCTGTCCTCTGCAGCGGACACCACTATGTCCTCTGCAGTGTACACCAATCTGTCCTCTGCAGTGTACACCACTATGTCCTCTGCAATGCACATCACTATGTCCTCTGCAGTGTACACCACTATGTCCTCTGCAGTGCACACCTCTTTGTCTTCTGCAGTGTATACCACTCTTTCCTCTGCTGTGTACACCACTCTGTCCTTTGCAGTATACACCACTGTGTGTTCTTCAGCATCGAGCCCTGTGTCCATTTACAGATTTTGACACTGCCTCAGAGGAACATAGTCATTGCCTAGGGTCACAGGACAGAAAGAGCAGGAACCAAGTCATGTTTTTGCTTTCCTGGTATCTGTCTTGTGTTTAAGTACACACATTAGGGTCAATATTTCCTAGTTCGGTAGTGTGGGTGAGTAATATCTTTTTGGAGATGCTTGGTTTGCTGAGGCACATATGAATAGCAGCGTGCTGTTGAAATTGGGAGCGGCAGGGCTGCGTCCCCAGCACCCCGGCCGACTACATGGCTAGCTTATGCCCCAAAATAATTGCACACAAATTGTATTCTTTTAAACATTGCTTGGCCCATTTCTATCTAGCCTCTTCTAGGCTAATTCTGATATCCTGATCAACCCATCTCTAATAATCTGTAAGCACCGGTCTTACCGAGAAGATTCTAGCCTACGTCCATCCTGGGTTGGAGCTTCATCACGTGTGTCTGCCCGGGAGCGGGCAGCATGGCATCTCTGGTCCAGAGAACAGAGCTGTCCAGTCTGAGCTCACTTCCTCTTCCTCCCAGCATTCTGTTCTCTTTACTCCACCCACCTATGTTCTAAGCTATGAGCCCAAGCAGTTTGTTTATTACTTAACCAATGAAATCAACAGATTGATATATGACACTCCCACATCAGCTTGCAGAGGATTAAGTGAGATTTGCAGCTACTGGTCACAGTGTCTGGTCTGTATCTAATGCTCAGAACCGGTTTCACTGACACTTTACTTTTCTTCTTTGTCCCTAAACTATTTTGTGGCCTCAGGCAAGACAACTTATTTCATATGCATCCAGCTCTGATCTTGGATTTGAGATTTCTTGCTACATAGCACATGTGGAAAATTAAATTTTAAGATTTTCAATTGAGCTCATGAGATTTGGAGAAAACACTCAATAATTTATCTAGGTTATAAATAAACCAAATATCCACCTTAACCCTTACCCTACAGATCTACTAAAATGCAAAGAAATATATAATATAATATAATATAATATAATATAATATAATATAATATTTGTAATCTGAGTGCTTTTTTAACAGCCATTCAAATGATAAAATTTTGGTTCAGCTAAAAAGCACACTATATGTATTGCACAGACAGAGAGAAGAGAGTTGCCTTCTTGTTAAAAAATATTCACAAGTAAAATTGTAAAGTAGAGCTTAAACATCCACGGTGAAGTAAAGAAAAAATCCCATTCTGATGCTCCTCTGAAGAAACCATAAAATGCTATGTCATGATACTCCATCCCATTTTTATTTTCTGGATGCCCATGCTGGTTTCTGATGTCTGTCATTAATGCTGCGTTGTCCCACCCTTAGATTCCATGATATCTTGTCTACACATACTTGATGACCTTGTAACAGCATATTGGCACATATAAAAAGCATGCTAAGTATAAAGAAGCTCTTCCTAATAACACAGGAAAATTTATATTTGGTTTAATAGTATAATTCATTTTATCAAGAATGATTTTTATCTGGTAACTTTAAACAAGAAAAATAACCCAGGATCTCTTCCTAGGGAGTGGTATTTTTCAGTGAACTTAGTCTTCTTGCATAAGACAATCATCCCCAGGCCAACCTGATGCGAATCCTCAATTAAAGCTGACTTTCCTGAAATTCTAGGTTATAGAAAGTTGATGTCTGATCCTAACAACTGTTGTAATATGAGTGGCGGGGCTAAGTTCCTGGCACCTGGCCACCCGCATGGCTAGCTTTACCCGGAATAATTACATGGAAACTGTATTCATTTAAACACTGCTTGGCCCATTAGTTCCAGCCTCTTATTGGCTAGCTCTTACATATTGATCTAATCCATTTCTAATAATCTGTGTAGCCCACGAGGTGCCTTACCAGGAAAGATCTTAACCTGCATCTGTCTGGAGTGGGAGAATTATGGCAACCCCCTGACTCAGCTTCTTTCTCCCAGCATTCTGTTCTGTTTACTCTGCCTACCTAATTTTCTGTCCTATTAAAGGGCCAAGGCAGTCTCTTTATTTGACCAATGAAATTAACACAAAACAGAAGACTCTCCCCCATCAAACAACCACATTGGAGAATGCAACTGGTTCACGCCAGTGAGGAGAAAGATGTGCCATGAGTCATCTGCAGCTGTTGAATCACAATTGTGTGCCATGCAAACTCGCAGTTTCTCCATTTACCCTGTCTATGCTCTGACTAACACTGACAGCATCCACAGAGGTATTCACTTCTAAAATACTACTGGTCACTTCTGTTTTCACATCTAAGCTTTGTTACGCAAATGGCTACTCTGAAATTCTTTCTCCCAGGGTCCAGGATGTGAAGTGCAATGACCAGTTTGTGAAACCAAGAGTGGATTCCTAAATATTAACACGTTAGTGTGTGGGCATACCCTCTGATGTCCTCCTGGCTGGAAGCTGGTGCAGCACCATGCGGTCACTATCTTTCCCAGACATTGCTGGATGCAAAGCAACAGCCCCGAGTCCTTGATCTGTCATCCTAGGTTGGTCTCTGGCTGACCATCCTCATTTTGTTCACACAGGCTTTCTCCACACACAACACAATTCCATTGATTGGGTTTCAGTTTACTAATTTGCAATCATTTTCACCACTGACTCCCTGAGATTACACCTGGGTCACCTTGGCAGATGCTGTGGGAGACCACAGCTTCCTCAGTTCCACACTAACAGCCGTTTTGCTACATTCAAACATGCAGGTCTTGCTACTGCATGGTGAATTTACCAGAAATACCATTTGGGAGTGTTTTAGATTTCTGAGCTATCTCCTTGCTCCATCCAGAATTAGATGGTTGAAGGAAATTTTATTACTCTAGCATGGTGTTTCTTTCTTGGTGTTAGTCCTTTGAATTCCCATATATATTAATTCATATTTTTCATAAACATAAATTTAATATACAAACCAATGTTGCCTCTTATAATTAATTTAAGACTTTGTAATATTACAAAAATAGTAATAAAAATAACTGCATACTTTTTCAAAGTTGACGGCATGCCATATATGAGAGCTATGAAGATTATTTGTTAACTCAGTTAGCAATCTCCAGAGATAGCTACCCCACCTTTCTTCATTTTTAAAAATAAAATAAGGACCTGAATTTCCAAGAGACTGAATGATTTAGAGTCTCTAATTAAGAGATGACAAATGTGTGATTTGATTATCCTGTTCCATAATAAAAAATTAGTTAAGGATTTATTACAGTTAACATCCAGACTGTGACAGTGCTAGTAGAAAAAAAAAGACTTTAGGAAAAGCTGTGTGTGCTAAACGCATGAGGAGCTCACAATATGAGTGCTGTAGATGTGCGAAGGAGGAGCATTAGTTCTTTCCCCCATGTATAATGAAAATTATGTGCTTTGAACACACAGTCATTGAGATTA